ACTGACATCTATCAGAAAACAATTACTCCTCTGGCTAATATCACGAAGGATGTTCGATTATATCCGACAGGGGTCAGTAGAGGATTCTTCACTGAAGTTATTTCTGCATTTGCTGTTGGCAATACAACTGCCGCAATAGATTTTCAATTATTCGAACACACTTGCAGGCCGGTTTCGGGCTGTTTGGCCACTCTTCAGTGCCAAATAGTGTATATCATCAACATAAAGTTGATGATTTCCGATAATTGAAAATCGAATTCCTTCAGGGTATCATTCCTCTAAGCCAGGGGTCTCCAAATTACAGCCCGCGGGCTAAATCCGGCCAGCCAGTGTCAACAATCCGGCCCGCGACAGCTAATGATTTACTGTCATTAATCTGGCCCGCGACAGCCAATAATTACCTAATTGTTGTTACGATTGCTGTGATAAGTTGAAGAAGAAAACACAGAATGATAATTACTTGGTTTTATTTACTTGCAAGGTAAAACTCAACGACAGAAATGATAACAAAGAAAACTTAACTCAAGTATCTAAGTTTAAGCATATTAATATCTAACAAATAATTGAAATGAATCACAGTAAAACAAAAACACTAATGAGATTTATGTAATTGTGATTTTCCACCGACAATACTTTGTAGTTTTGGATTAATTTCACTTGTACCAATTATCAAAAGAGATTTAAGATGCTCATCGGTTAATTGAGATCAGTAAACATTATTTGTGTACTTCATCTTGAAAAACATTTTTTCACACAAGTAAGTAGTACCAAAAATAGAAAACAACCCACGAGCAAATTTATGCAAATCATCAAATTGTTCCAGTGGAAGACTCTTATAAAATTCCAATAAAGATGAATTTTGATATTTGTTCTTAAGCATATCACTGCAACGTTAATCAATAATTTCCATTTGGACTTCCGGATCCAGGGTTTCAATGTCAGAATCAAAAGGATTTTGAAAAAGCTTAATTTCATTCGCAATGATATCAAAATCTGAAAAACGAGTTTCAAAATTTATCTTCATAGCACTCAAAGTTTCTATTGCAAAATTGACGGGAAATTCAGTCTCTGTAGTGTGGCTGAATATTTCACATGTTTCAAAATGTGTGAAACATTTTTACGTAATTGCGATTGAAATAGTATTATTTTCTGCCTGAAGGATTTGATATTGGTTTATAAATCAGGGAGAAGCTGATTTTCTCCTTGCAATCTCAAATTCAGTTCGTTCATATGATTTGTCAAATCGACATAGAAGGCTAACTTCCACATCCATTCACTATTTTCTAAATCGACAAAAGAGCGCTGCTTCTCATTTAAAGAAATTTCGATCTTTGCTCAAAGTTCAAAAAACGTACTTTTCCGCAACTAAGCCAGCGTACGGCAGTATGATATGGTAAATCATTTTCTCCAATCTGTTGAATAAACTCGCGGATTTGTTGGTGATTCAGCCCAGTGGATCTGATGAATTTAACAACTGATATGACTGGTTTTAGAACTTCAGACATATCCAAACATTTTCTGCACAAGGACTGTTGATGAATGATACAATGTAAGACTAATGGTTTTGAACCACCATCATTTTCTACAGCCTT